AGGAAGTCTCGTTTCTGGCCTACAAGGAAGAAAAGAAATAGTCGAATAAACTCGTTATTTTTGTTTGTTTTTTCGCACAAAAAGTATTCGCGTCGCTTGATAAACATATAGTTGAGCCACGGTAGTCACTTGGGATATTTAAACATTTTCTTCATTGACTTTCTGGGCCGTCAAGAGGCAGTCCCTTAGGCAGCCAATGTGGTAGTTATACAGCTCTCAAATTTAATCAAAAATATCTTCATTTGTGTTCCGAAGACGAACGAAGGTCTTACGGGGTTAGTACAGCATGGGGGTGAGTAATTAATGACTTAATTTTCATTTTTGGGTGAACTAACCCTTTAAGAGTGCACATCTTGACAATGCCCCCTATTGCCTAATTGTGTTTCAATAGCTTCTTTAGTGGAAATCAGGCTAAAAACTCCATTAATAATCTTAGTCTAATTGGCAACTGCGGTAGGATTTTTTTTTTTTTTTTAAACAACCAATAAAGCGTAGTCCAGTATCTGACAGATATTACTGGGATGTTTTAGGGATGGTGTGTGGTTGAAGCTAGCAAAATGGAAATCACACCACCTTCTACTTCTTTTTTTTTTTACAGACACCATATTGAGTTGCATTGCAACATCCCTATTCGTTTTATCTACAAAAGGAATCTGTCGCCTCTTCCTTAAACTGACTGTGGGTTTGGCCTGCCATCGGCATCCAATAAGAACGGTAGATTGACAAGGAAGGAAGGAAGGAAGGAGGGAAGTAAAGGGTTCTATTTTCATTTGGTAAGTTGGGACAGAGAGTTCCGAGTTTGTTTTTTTGGGCATAAAGGTTGTAAAGGTCATCACAGCCTCTGAGGGGGAAGTCAGAGTGCGAGTCAAGAGGATACTGTGTCTCTCTCTAGGCTCTATACAGGGACTTACCCAGTTCATCTTTCCTCTTTGGCCCTCAGCAAAACTGTTATTCATTCCACTCATCTGCTGCATTACACTCCATTACTTATATGAGTTTTGATGAGGTAAGCAACGCTGTAAAGTTAAGGAGGTAGGATCAGACAAGAAATTGAAGTTTTAATTGCAGGTTAGAGATGGAGCGAGGATGAGAGGGAAAAAAAGGAAAGAGGGAGTGACTACCTAACATTGCAGCTAGTAATTTAAGAAAGGCAGGAACCATTTAACACAAAACGTGTGGCGTTTAATGAACAGTTTGCCTTCAGTGGGAGCGAATTAATCGCGCTCTCTCCTTTTCGATACATTTAATTTTCTCCCTCTCAGTGCTCGTCCATTTTTTGTGTTATAAAGGGAACAGTATAGAACTAAAATGAAAATCGTTTCATTAGGGAATTTACTCACCTTTATACGTCATCCCAAATATGCTACTTTTAACAAATGAAAAACACAATGGCGACTGGCGAGGGTCGTGAGAGAAAGGCATAGCCTAATCTTCTAGACACCTCGCGCGTGCACAGACAATTCGTGCGCAACTGCGCCTTGTCACGGTCTCGGTTTAAGTTGGAGAATATAGCCCGCAGGGGAACTTAACCTTCAAGGTGTAAGGGTAGCAGTTTGAATAAATAATGAACATAGAAGTAAGAAGTTTGAACTCTTCTCCACTTCATTAAAGGCACACTATGCACTCTCTGGTTTTTTTGTAAAACAGTGACCTCTAGAGCCGCTGTGGTGTACTTGCACTGTCGTAAATAACCGTTATTCCCCTGTTACTGCATATACTGTCAAGTGCTAGACTGCTTTTTAATAATAAAGTTGCCTATCGCGTTTGCTGGCTTATAGCGTTTTTACATGATTTCTGCAAAATCAGAAGTAAATAGCCTATAGTGTATAGGCTACTGTATAATTTCATTCATGTTTTTTGATTGTAATGTTAAAATTACAAAATGTCAGATGACATCAATCAAGTTAAATGTACGTCGCATTATTTCATAACATTGGACGTTATGATTTAGACATGATTACAATTTATCATAATAGCAAATTGTGTTCAATTATTTACAACCTCTAGGCTTATATATGTCCTAATAATTATGTGAGATATTGACTATGTCCTCATGGTAATCGCAAGAATCAACATCAACAGCGTCAAGATTTGATTGATTCATAATCAACACAATTTGAAGTTACAGCCGGGAAGTGTACTGTTAGTCAGATAAACTTGATATAACAGTAACTTACACACGTCATAAGAAATCCGAACCAGACACAGGACTAAAGATACGTGATAAATACACATCACAACACCTGCGTTCAGCTGGCAAACTAGCCCTTGTGGCAAGCTCGGCAATAAAACATAACGGAAAAAACAACAAGACTAAGAGAAACGACTGTTTTTAGGAAGTCTGCTTAAAGCTCTGGTAATCGAAAGCTATAGACATGTGAGAATTATTGAACTGGTCTTATTATCAACAACGGATGAACGAACAGCACCGTAAAAAATTACATACCACAAGCCAGTGCAGCAACATACAATATAGAAACAACTAGTATACAAATACAAACAAGTTTATAAATAAGAGATTTACTTACAAGTCCATCAACAAGATCGCCAGGTCAGCATCGCAGTTACAATCCAGTGCAGCTTTTAAGCTCGCGCCAACGAGTGAAAGCCCGACCGAGTGGACTCTTGTCCGGTTTCTAGCACGGTCCGATTCTCTTTCCCTGTTTCGAAAGTAGCTTCATACAGTATGATGTTGTTGATGCGTGTGACGTCGTTGCCGTAAACCATTTCGTGATTCTCACGCGCTGTGTCAGGGGCGCCACTCTCAAACTTGCATGGCTGGTTTTTCCGGCGGCGTCCCCCCCAAGCTTTCCTACCAGGATGATTCGCCCTACTATGACTTTGTTAACCACCAAAACGACTTTGAAGCTGTTATATTAAGGTACAGATCTTGCATAGAGTGCCTTTAACCCCAAAAACCCGCGACTCCAGTACCAAGTGCTCACGACCCATCTACGGCAAGCCCCGAGGGGAAAAATACATAACATACACACATACAACGAGCGCCAGAACATTATTGCCGGTATTATAGTGACAGACTTTGTTGGATTCTGTCACGTTCTATCCAACAAAGTTTGTTATAATAATACGGATTTTGAGGACAGTTACACTGTATTGAGACAGTTGAGAAATAGTTATATTTTAGTTTTCAACAATAGGCCTAAGTAGATCTTTGTTGAAGCTTTGCTATATTTCTAATTTCTCAGTTTTGTCATAATTTTAGCAAATAATTTATTTTATATGTTTTGAGACTGTTTGTTTTAAGACTGTTAAAACTTTTTTATTTATTCTACTTAGCCCCCAAAAGGCTCGGGCCGGCTCTGCAGCAAAGCTTTGTCTTTCGGTCAGTTTCTCTCCAAAAAAGCTTTAGAAAACATTATAGCATACAGTCCCCAAGTTGTGATTGTGAACCATTAATAGCTCTAATAGCTCGATATGAACTGTGTCGTGTCGTTAGAAAACAACAGAATTATGATTCTTTAAATTATTTTCCAAGGAAAAATAAGACCATTTGAGTTCAGAATAAAATGAGGACAAACAAATATTACATTGTTCCTTTTAGAGTAGGCCGCTACACTATTCTTTTAAACCAATATTTGTTGTCACAGACCATGACAGTCACAGATTAAGCTCTGTTGCTGTTCTTTTGGATATGACCAGATTTGTTTAATGGTTGGCGACTTTGCTATAAACTGAAAAGGGAACAAAAGCTAGTTACTAGGACTCTTGGGTGCAGTGATGAGGTCTTGTGGGAACTAAAAATGTCTGATTAGCTTTATCAGCTAAACACAGACCATTACACACAACAGCAGCTCATTAAAACAATGTGCGAAGATTCAGAAAATTGAAAAACCGTTTTTAGAAGGTTATTCAGATTTCCTTCACGACTCCAATTCCTCTCAACATTGAACCAATGACGTATAGAAAGTTTTATGACCTCTGTGATTTCTCTGAGGATATTCACTTTTAAAATGAGGAAGTGATTTAAAACATACATTTTATAAGCCTGATGTTTGCTACTATAGTTAGACAGGGGTGCAGATGAGCTGAAAAATATTCCAGTTAGTGGGTGTTATTGGACTATTTGTTATTTTACAAAAGATGATGTTAGCTTCTTTTGTTTTCTTACACATTTCAATGAATCTAGAAAGTTTTACTTGAATTATGTTTCAATGGACTCCTTTTGAAAGACAATTACCGGTAATATATCTGTGGATACTCTTTTCTTGGTGACATATGACTTTTCAAAGCAGCTCAACAGATGGCTACAATGCAAAAACAAGCACACATAATGGAGTGTTGAGAAAGAGAGAATAATAAAACTGTGTGAAAAAGAGGTGGGTGTTCGTCCAACTCAAGCAACCATTTATATAGATTTGACGTTTTTTTCTGCCCCATAATCATCCTGTCACTTTCCTGTTAAATGAAGCTTTGTTCAGGATGATCAATTAAACAGTACAGAGAAGTTTGAACCCAGATCTTCTCCATTATCTACAGCGGACCTGAATCAGATTAGTAGGCAAAGTGTTCTGGCACATGTAAAAAAAAAGCACAAGAGAAAGAGCGACCAAGTTAGTTTCTTTTTTAAAACTATGATTTTAATATTCCGCTATTGCTTCTCATTACAGAGTTTAGTCCAGCATTTTCAGTCAGTAACACACTCTTTTGCTTAATTTCACACAAATCCTGTTCTAAAGATTCAAAGCAGACAAAAGAAATTATTGACAGGGTTAATGTAAAGAAATCATCAAATGTTAGTACAATCGGCAAGAAAAGATTAATCAAATTATATAACTAGAGATAGTTAATAGCTTACAATTTACATGAGAAGGCACAGAGGCAAAGCAACAATGACAAACCAAACACCCCAGCAAATAGCTGGAACCAAATAATATTGTTCATCGAATGGGGTTTTCCATTTCCACCACCTATGGAATTATATCATCATGGAAAAAAAAAATGTCTCTCATATCAATTTTTGTAATAAGGCATACTGTTCATATCTGGAAATGTGATTTAATGTTATTTCTCACATACAAAATATGATAGAAAAATACATTATAAAATGTTACAATGGTTATAAATAGGACTGTATATTTTCCAATGCAGGGAGCTGCTTGGGTTTGCAACCAAAAAAAAAAAGAAAAGACAATAATAATAAGCTTGAATGGCGAGTTGCAGTTCATTGGCATATACAATACACAAACACTCACTCACACAAACATCAGTAAACATGCTCACACATGTCAACATGGTCTATAGTAATACTGCATGGAAGGCAAACACTAAACCAAAAAACACACAAAAAACTCCAGTTCCTGGTCGTAAAAACAAATTCCATCCATTAAATATATTTGCAGGATTTTTCCTTTACCAATATCCAGATTAATAGTAATATAAAAAAATGACATGCAACATGATTACAAACGCAAACATCTAAAAAGTATTGCATTTGCTCTGCATAAATAAAACCAATATTATTTTTTTTTTTAAAAAGGAGATGCATCTTCTCAAAATCCAGTTATGATAACCAAAAAAACTAAATGTAATCATAATTTGTTAATAGGCTTTTAGTTTCTGAAATGGTACTGGAAGACCAACTGAAGGACATTTATTCGGCCGTTTTAATAAAACTGAAAATCATTTGCATAGGAAGGAAATGTGACATGTCTGCACACAACTTCTCGAACACTTAAATTCTTCAAACGAATAAAATGACTAATTAACCCCAAACCATTATCAATTTCAACCTGCTGAATTAAAAACTGCTCCTTGAGATATAAGCTGAGTGAAAAGTAATAGTTTATAGTTTCATATCGATGTGCTTCATTGCTGTATAACAGATGTAGTGATGCTCTATAAACATACACGTATATTTTCACAAACAATCAGATTGTGAGCGTAAAGATCTCAAGAAGTACCAAATGTAGTGTGACAGGGTAAAACTCTATTAATCATTATTCGTAAAGATATTAAACGCACATATAACACTAGCTTTTGAGTGTAACGCCTGCAACATTGTTCAGTACACCTCTTGTTTTCATGATCACCGATAAAGAGGAATTGAACAGAAATACCTGATATGTTGGCATACAACACATTGATGGACATTCATACTTGTTGATAATTGATGATAGTGTAAAATAAGGCACTTGTTTGTTTGTTTTTATTTAAAAAAGACACCGTTTTGGTCTCTAAATATGTCATAAGGAAATAAGCATTGTTTGTTCATCACATTTTGACAATACTGTTTTTTTTTTTTAATATAAAAAAGGATTACCTGTGAAAAATATATATAATCATTTCCTGTGCAGCACCCTCGTATCAAAAAGATATTAATTGATGTTGTGTTTGTACACTTGCTCATCTGACTGAATGCTTTTCGACAGCTCTCTGAAGAAAACGCTGGTAGGCAAGCATGGCTTTTACATCCCTTACGGACATTTGGACCTCTAAGACAGTTTTAAAGTAAACTGCAGGGTTTAACTCTTCAGGATGGTATGAGAACTGCAGTTCACATACTTAGAGTGTTAAACAATATGCTCAATGATTCATTTTTTAGAAACAAATAAAGATGTGTGTTTATTTAGTGTGTGCGTGTGAAAGGCTAACATTAGGATTTTAGGTGTCGCCCAGACAGTGTTATTGCTTTATGCCACTTCAGTGCAGGCTGGGAAGCCCAGGTCACCTGACCAAGGAGGTCCTCAGTTTGAGAAGGGAAGTGATTCGGTTCTGCGGGTGGTGCCGTGGGGGCCATCACGGCTTCTCGGCTGTGTTAAGCGAATTAAAGCTGCTTCTGGGCTCACCAGCAGGCTGCCAAAACATAGAAGCGAAGGACGAGAGCCAGAGAACTGGTCAGCAGGCAGGCAATGGTCAGGTCATCATTGGGTGAAGAGTTCAGAGGGTCATTGGTTAGTTGCCGGTGGCGGCTGGGTTGTTAGAGAAAAAAAAAATGGACAGACAGAGGGGAAACGAAAAAAAAAAAAGGACATAAAAAGGACACAAAAGAAAAAAGATAGAGAAGGAGATTAGTTTCAGCTAGTGACGGTTGGATGACAATATGACATTACTAATTACTAAGAGAAAACTGCTCAAAGTCTACATTAACACGGCAAAATCATGAAAGCCTCATGATTTAACTCCAGAACCCATCCCTCAGGTGAAAATGGTTAAAGAAGCAAAAAGGCAAATCAATTACAGTCATTACGAATTAAACTAACAGCACTTAATAGTTAGTAGCAGTCAACAGAGTTTGGGTGTTGGGAAAAACCGATATCAATCCCGGATTAAGAGATGCAAGGATCCTCTGACTGCTATTAAGCATTAGAGTGCTGCTTCAATACAAAAGCCACAAAGCTGCTAGTGATAATGATATGGATTCATGAGTAGTTACAAAGATGTGACGAGAGAAGTAAAATCAGGGAGTGACAGGCTAATCAAAAGATTTCTAGACAGCACAAAAAGTTTGTGTTTTTTTAACTCAAAGTTTATTGCCTTTAAAATTGGACTATTTACAAAAAAAAAAATATACAGAATGCTAATCAAACAGAATGATACTAAAGCACATTGGCTGAAATTTAGGGGCTAAAACAACACTACAAACACAATGAACACAGTCTACTTGTTTCGCAAGCTGAGCCTAAAACCTTACAAGACCGTATCAAGACTGTCACAGGTATGACATCCTAAAAATGAAATGTACCCCTTATGGAAAAATAACATGGCATTGTTCTCTAAGCTTACATGTTTATAAATTCCCTATTCATTTACAAATACAATAGATTTCATAAATGTTCTTGCTTTATAGTTCAACGTATTGCTTTCATAAACTCATCTTTAAAAGATCACACACGATAACCGGTTTTCCATACATTTGACAAAATTCAAAAAGAAGCTTACTGCAAAACAACAAAGAAACAAACAAACCAAAAATGGAATATTTCGTCAGTTCATCTGTTGTTCTTGTGCTAACAGGCAGGCACAGTGTGTAACCGTCCCGCTTTGATAAACAACCTAACATCTCATGAGGTTTTTTGCGTTTTTTTCTTGTTTCACTTTGCTCTGTCCGAGTAGCGCAGACTAGGAGCTGGTGATTTTAAACTCTTCAGTGCAAAATACTTGTGCCATATTTTTATGATGAGGAATTTCTTGAATGGAGAGTTTAAGGAATCATAAGCACCTTTATAATGCACAGAGCAACTACTTTCAAAACGTAGTGCATATGATGACTTCCACTCTCAAACAAGTCCTAACCTCCATAACTGTCTAGTCTATCTCATGTGACACTGTCCAAGCCAAGTGCTAGGAATATTTCATCCAAGGAAATCTTTTACAAATGATCAGATCTTTCTGTGGCTGTGGGCAGTAAGACAGACAAGGTAGATTTGACTTTTTGTGCAATTTCACAATTGTTATGCATTAAACTGGTCAGTTGTATTGGTCTATTAAATTATGACATGTTAAAGTCTTATGGGAGTGAAATTCACTTATATTGATCAGTAGATTCTCACATTTAAAGTTTTTTTCAGGAGTCATAGTTATTATATGTACAGTTTTGGCACATCCACATGTTTGCAATATGAGTTGTTTCATTACAGCAATCTTTAAAAGCTGGTGCTGTAATTCCCTTAGATCCAGTTTATTCCATTTAAGGCATTTGAAAGATTTTACATCACGAATATGCTCAGTGACCCGGGCCAGAAATGATTACTTTTAACTAGGGCTGTCAAACGATTAATCGCGATTAATTGCATCCAAAATAAAGGTTTGTGTTTACATAATTTATGTGGGTGCACTGTGTATAATTATTTATATATAATTAAACACATGCTTGTTTATATTTAAGAAATATTTTCATGTATATACTGTATATAGATATATATATACTTTATATAAATATTTTTATATACATATTTTTTTCTTAAATATACATGCATGTGTGTGTATTTATATATATATATATATATATATACAAAGTAATTATACACAGTGCACCCACATATATTATGCATATATATATATATATATATATATATATATATATATATATATAGCATACAGTCTTACATATATATATTATCGTTTGACAGCCCTACTTTTAACTTAAAATACAATTATCAACTGATCTATACATAAAAAACTGCACTAAAAGGTATAAATAAAATATGTAAGTTGAGGAAAGATTCTTAAGAATGAATTAAAAATTGCAAGACGAAAAAAGGCATCTTTACAGAAGAAATACTGCGATGAGATACTGAAATAATATTCAGTAGTTTGAAGTTTCTCAATTAATATAATAAAGTATACATCTGTATCATAAATTGGGGAAAATTCTAATTGCACCTATCTTCTAAACATTATTTATACTTGTCTGGCCAGGTTGAAATATGATAAATAAGATTATGTTTCATTATGTGAGACTTCTTAGATCTTCCTCCAAAACCTAAATCTTGTAAAGTTGTTCCATTATTCAGAAAAACTTTTTGTAAGCTGCCAAAAAAGGATCTGGATTGGAAAGTAGGATTAAATGGGACACTGTATTCAAGAGGCATAAAATGATCTTCAAATACACTAAAACTATGAAAGAATATTAAAGGAATGACAAATGAAGAATAAACCGAAGCAAACAAACAGGTGAGCTCCATTACCCTTCATTGACTATGAGCCTGAAGGCCATCACAACGTCATCAGTGTAAGGAGTGCAGACAGTCAGTTTTGCTCCATGTAGGTTCTGTGAACCCAAAGTGGTTCTAACAGTATCACACTAGTTTTTCATCTACATACGTCCACAACTAAACTTCAGGTCATGTTTGTCTCAATATGCAATGCATGTAAGTGCTGAAGTTATCAGATCATACCAATAGTCTGTTCCAAAACCTGGTGAGCTGCCTTGTTATGAGCAAAGTAATATGTTGACTTTAAGGACATTCGCAATGTGAGGACAAAAGATAGCCTCGTTTTGACTCATTTTAGCATAAGGCGGAATGGTATGTATCCTTCATGGAAAAGGCAATCCCAGAATGCATTGTGTCATTGCAGTAAATCACCTAATACTGTGTTACGCGAACTGTTCCTATCACAACACTTATGATAAAATGTGCGATCCATTTGTATTCTTTTGAGAATTAACAACTTTAAAACGCTATGGAGAAAGTCAAACATGATCTAAAACTGCTACATAAACTAAAAAAAAGGAGAAAACAATCAAGTTGCATAAATTATAAAGTTTTTTAAACTACTCATGACCACCCATACTAGAATTTATCACCATTTTTTTTTTGGGTGTTCCTATTTGTAGATGAATAAAAACAGAAAAAAAGTCAACATTTAGGAGCCATCAGTGGTCTCGCATGTGATTCTAGTCTTATCGTAACAAATGCTATAGTTAAACAATTACAAAAAATCTATATGATACATTTCATTAGGGCAAGTACAAGTTTAAAGTATGGACGTTCTTGAGTTACTGACCAAACAAGCAGTTTTCCCCATGTAAAATGTGTTCTGTTCTAATGACGACGGACAGGAAAAACCTGGCCTTCAGATATTCCAAGAGAAGACATAGCTGTAATCATTATGAGCCTGATGAACTGTTAAGGAATGGGAAATAAATCATTTCAATATAAGAAAATGGAAAGTTAATTTGACTTCCCATGGCATTTTGAAGTAGAAAATTCTGTCAAACTGATAAGGTTCCAGATGCTTAAATATAAAAACACATCCTATGTAAACAAGTAATTGTTAACTATAGTCTATTTCTTTATTGCAGTTACGTTATCAACCAAATTTGCATGTGTGGATTATAGGGAAGATACTACAAAAGACAATTTTGCTAAATTAAATAAATAAATATCATAAGGGAGCATTCTCTGAGAACCCACTAAAACGGTTCACACGTCAACACCCCCAATGTTCAAATCAAAACAACACCCTTTGTACTGTTAGCTTAGCAACATGCTAACTGCAAACTATTGGAATCAATTGCAAGTTGAGTCTCTTGTGTAGAATGCAATTTATGTTACGTGTTGCTTAAGCAGAGTGTTCCAAATACATTAACAGTGTTCCGTGGTTGTTAGGATGCTCTTTTTGAAGGTAGCTCACTAGAGTTTGGAACAGAGCTGAAATCTCTGAGTTTGGAATGTTTTGACCCCTTGTAAATCAGTTAGAATATTTTTGTTTGTTCAAGTATTCTATTTTTAACCTTTGCTTCAGTGACCCCAAGAACATGCTCAACATATAATAAAAGTAAGATGATAACACCTTCAGTTTCAATGCATTTCTAGTCTGGCAGGTTTAGGTAGTAAACAAACCCTGCACAGCATGACTGGCATGTACTATACCCGACAACAGCAACATTGAAATCTCAAATGATGCTTTTGTTTGGCAGGTTAGAAGTTGCTAAAACAGTTCATCTCTTTGTATTGAGTGAGATGCAATGAAAAAGAGTGTAATCAGCATACCGAAGAAGAAAAAGTACACACACACACACACACACACACACACAGAGCACAGTTTGAACACTGGAGCTAAACTAACCTCGTTCTGCGGTCACTACCCTTTGGTAAGGATGGACGCGCATATCCTGCCTTCGTACTTTAGTAGTCACTGCACCTGCTCAGAGCGCAACATTGCCGACAAAACAAGAATTAACAGATTATTCATCAAAATACATTAAAACGACATTTCACACAAAATTGTTTCACAAAATTGAGTCCAAATTACAAGGCACAAGTGACCTTTTCTCCATTGTGAAATCACATCATATGTTGTTCCCCTTCTCAATGTCCATAAGTATTTCCATAAAAACACAAATGCTGCTTAATGCTCTGACTAATTTAAACTATAGAGCCCTTGTATTCCTCTCACTACACAAGACCCTTCAGATATAATGAATTCACTACAGGCTTTCATGGAGAATGTTTTACACAAGCACGTTATATTAGCAATAATACTGATCACTCTCTAAATATCTAAGATACAGTTGCAGGAGAAATTTAAGTGATACATATATTACAAGCTAAACAAATATAGATTACTTTCAAACAGAGGAATGTAATAAGGCTTAATTATCAGTATTTATCTGAAAATATCAATTGTTTAATCTATGAATAAGTCAACAAAACAGTTATGACCAGTGTAAACATGAGTAGTAATGATCTTTAGTCTTTTGTTTCTTATAAAAATCAGTTTCTTCGTTTGCTCTTTTGTTCCAAGGCAGCTGTAAAGCAAAGCATTTTTAACACTCGTATGGGCTGAAGACTGTGTAAAACCCCTGAGCATTACTAGCCTTTTGTCGGGAAAGCCATACCTACAAGGACAAGACAGAACGCTGGAGTTAGTCTACTGGATCTCTGAGCAAATGAGGACAAACTGTGTACACCAAACAGGGTTGGACATACAGAATATAATATGTAAAATAAAATAAATAAATAAATATATAAATATATATATATATATATATATATATACTTAAATATAAAATATTATGTATTTTTTATATAAAATAAAATTATATATTAACATAAAATGTATTATTATTGGTAATTCTTTACAAGTACAGAGATACAAAGCAATAATATAATTTGCAAACTACTAATTTATAGTTTATTTACTGAGGTTAATACATTAATAGACTATATACAAATAGTGAGTTCTTCATTCATTGTCACTGTCATAGAAAAAGTGTTATTGATTAATTAGCTCATACGTAAAGAGTTAGATAATGCTATGTTAACAACCATGAATATTACTTTAGATTACATCATGGGAAATCGGAAAATGTAATTAAGTGCTTTTATCCAGCCATTATTAGACATTAATTACATTAATACTAAGAGTTCCTTAAAATGTTTCAAAGTATTATATAAAGTGTTACCTTATTATTAATATAAACCAATGAAACAGAATAACCGTTGACAAATACCATGCATTTTGTGTATATCATACCAGTCATAACTCCAAAACATGGTAATTGCATAATCTGTATAAAGACAAATGATCAAATCTCTTACCTAAAACACCACTGGAGTCAATAGGATATTCAAGAATGGAGGCTGGGGCTAGGGTGTAGGGGTAATCGTAGGGTGCATAGATGATGCCTGACTCGGGGGTCTGGGGTAAGAGGTGGTGCGGCGTGCCCGTGGGCATGAGGGCAGAGGTCTGGATCTGTCGGATGAGGGGCATGAGGGTGGGTGCGTTGGGTGCAGGGTTACGCAGAGCCCCAGTGGGCATCCCCGGGGAGGGGCCGGTGATAATGCGGGGAGCTTGTGCTGAGGCGGCCAGGGAGAAGGCTAAGGCTGCTAAACAGAACGAGATGCACAAGAGCAAATACACAAAGAGGTGAGGGGAAAAGAAACTCAGGTGCTAATCAATCTACCTTGTTTCACATTTCAAAAAGCAAACTTATGCAAATATATTCACACAACAAGTTTGCGTATTCATTCATCCACATGGCAACAAAAAATTAGAGATGGGCAACTTTGGTCCTGGAGGGCCACTGTCCTGCAGAATTTAGCTCCAACCCTGATAAAAAAAACTCGCATGCCTGCTTTCTAGCATTCCTGAAGATATAACCTATTCAGAGGCTGCATCTTTCGAAGGCTGATTGGGACACGGTGGCACGACAAAGGCGGTCCCAATTCGAAGGCTCCTTCAAATGTGTCCTTTGTTTCCCGTGCAATGAAGGATAAAACAGATGGATCTTTGTCGGCGTTGCCTACTCTAGAATTGATTGTGCGCCAGGATTTTGCGGATTTTTTTTAACCCTGTTTTGTTTTTCAGACAGTTTAACATAACTCGAAATGGGACACAGCTATTGATTAGCTTGTTCAGGTGTGTTTGATTAGGGTTGGAACAGGACAGTGGTCCTCCAGGACCGAAGCTGCTCATCCCTGGTTTAGGTTATTATTATTTAAGTCAATATTCAAACATTCTTTTTAATCAAGTTCACAAAACCCCAAAATAGATCTAAAACTGAAATGATGTACAGTGTAAGATGTACACTAAGTGGCTCGAGTTGAATTAATTACAAGAAAAGAGTGATTTTTAACAAAACTCTAATCATAATGTTTAAGGAATATCAATATGGTGCTCCAATATCTTGCAAGCACTGTAAACAAAGATAAAGAACCCAGTAGAGGTGAGTTGTATTGCAAAAAAAGTAAAACTCTGAAAGGAAATGAGTTTAATATAGAGGGATGAATATTAGAGGGGAAGAGAATCTGGACAGATAAACAGGTTGATGTTTGATGATGTCATTCTTACGCGACTTGATATTGGCGTCTCTGTATGTGCCGTTGAGAATGGCCAGCTCCATCAGCTGCATTTTTTTCAAGCTGTCTTCACCTTCAGCCTGCACATACACATGAAAAAAGTTGTTTAGAATTATTTTATATTGTTTAACTTACTTAAAAAAGCTGGATTCTACATGACTTTTCTACTAGAATGTTTGAGAGGTAGGCAGAGAAGCAGGCAGTGAAGTGGCGTCGGTAAGCTAACGTTTCACACTTGCTAACAGCTAGCGGATGATTTACTCTGCCACTGTTAAAACAAGCCAGCCCCAAAGAGCAAGAGGTTAAAAAAACAGATAGCATTACTCTCAGCAGCGAATGCTGCGATCCACGCCTCTGTGCATGCCCGTTTTCCATCGGCTCATCCTACAAGCCGTTTCCCCCTCTGCATAGTCCACTTCCCCTGAACTGGACATTTTTTAGTCGATTAATGATGGAGTGGTTCATATATAAACCACTGGTTCTCAATCAGAGGGCCTCACCAACTTCCAAAGGGTTTGGGGGCCACAAGATGACTTACAATTATTAAAATAAGACAAAAGTATTTAAATAATTACAAACTACAATTTCTTGTTTTGGTTTACCCGCTTAAGTTTTTTTTGAAGAACCAGGAGTCTTAAACTTTTATAGCCTAATTTTAAATAATGTGTTTATAGACCTGTAAAAGTCATGTAAATTAATAAAATCTTACATATATATATATATATATATATATATATATATATATATATATATACATACACCACCTGGAAGTTAAGAGGCCTTCAAATATTGTGGACAATATTCTATCGTCTACACTTGTTTTCCACCTAATTATTTATCTGTGCATGACATGTATAACAGCCATAAATGCACTGATCTATTGACAGTAACTGTATACAAATTCGAGCCTAAATAAGTGAAAAGATCAGCAACTAACTTTTCGTCAAGCTCTCAGATAGTAAAGTCTGTGTTCAGAGCAGGTCAGGGAGGGGCATGGCATGACAGTCCACAGAATAATATGAACTATGTCAGCAAGCAGAGAAGCGAAAGAAAAGCGGAGCTTTTCAAAGTGGGATCAGTGTGAGAATGTGTGTGTGTGTGTGTGTGTACCACACTTCTCTCTGCTTGCTTTGCTGAGATCTGCCAGCCAACTGACCGAAGCTAGTGAATATCAACCACTATTCCGACTGTATGTTAGTGAAAATAAATTATATAGATAATACATAATACATAGAATTATAATTTTACAAAAATTGCTGAACAATTTCAATTATTCTTGAGAAATTAACTTCTCTCTCGCTTTTAGCTAAAATGGTGGAAGAGCACAAGTCAACCGAGCTAATTTCTCAAAAATGGTTGAAACACACACAAGTAGGCCTACCGTCCCACTTTACTTAACATACACATACATTGTAAGAATAAAACTAAACACAAGATAAACAATGTATATCCCCCATTCATACTATAGTTTTTCATTATACAATGGTTGGTTTGGTTGGTTTGAGCCACCACAATCATCAAAAATATAGGAAATAGCAGAAAGTAAAATAAAGTGGTATTTCAGTTTAAGACTACAGAAACTACAGTTACTATGGTAAATACACAATATTAGCACAAACTGTTAATGTAAAATATAGTCACTGATACATATATTTAGGTTCTAAAAAATATATACATACTGGATGCAAAGCTTTAGTTTAGTCACCATTCGATTTAAGAAAGAAATGAATGGTATGAATTTGCTTAGAGAGTGATTTGTTGCTATGGGGATTCTTTTATATCTTGGTATATAATTGCAGAGACTCATTTTTCTCCCAAGTGAGACAGAAAGACTAGAGATTCTAGTCTCTGAGAGGAAGAGATGCCTTCCATATGTTTTGGGCCTTGAGCTAGAAAACAAACACCACAGTAACTTTTATCTACACTGGCAGTGAAACATTCGACATTTTTGAAATATGAAAATGGTGAAGAAATGCATGACACTGACTTGCCTAAAACCAAAACAGATCAAATTGAATTTAAAATAAATAAATCAAAACATTATCTTTCAACACTACTTAATTACAAAAACCAACTACAAATTTCTCACAGCTTTAAATGAGTATCCAGTGCCAATAAGAAAAAAAAAGCTGAACACTTCCCCTGGATGGTTTGATGAAGACAAACACAAACGCAGTGGGTTTACCTTTAAAACGAGAGCGCCCTGGAGTAAACAGTGCTAAACTTTATAAAGAGCTTATTCTTCATTCAGGATTCCATTGCAGGGAAAGGGCACAACTGTCAATCAAGGATCAGTGCATCCCCAAGAGCGTTTCCATAGTAGCACCACAGGGAGTCCAGAAACCCTCTCTCTTTGACAGCAGAGGAGGGATTACAATCCACAATTACACAATATTCCTGAATTCTAATCTCTAATTCTATTCCGTCTTCTACATTAAATAGCTGCTTTTCACAAGAAATACCACAGACTCAAGAAATGCTTTTTCTGTATTGCACTTTAAAGTTAACAAAACAACATTTGCAAAAGTATTATTTCATTACTATTTAAATACTATTATAGTATTTATTAATATTTGAATGAGCCTTCTTCTGTTTTAATCATTGTTTAAACGATCTGTTCAAAATCATTTTTGAGTGAAATGGAACAATAACTGAGAAAAAAAAACTATTCAGCCCATTTTACAGGTGTAGAACAAGAATAATATCAGTCATTGACTGAAAAAAAGTTACATTTTGTTATGCGACAAAGCAAAATCGTTTCAGACGACATGGAAATGGTAATGAAGCAAATATGACCAATTCTGATTTCACGATTAAAATTGTCTCTGATGCAAGAATATTGCTATATTTCAATGTCTGACCTCATAGCTATTTCATAAATGGAAAAAAAAAAACTTGTGAAAAAACACGACAGAAAAAGAACATTTCTCTCAAATCTCACTAGGCCTCTAATGGCACTTCTTCCTAACCTGCTGTCACTTCCTTTAGACCCAAAGGTTAATTGGCATTCAGCTCTGCGTCCCAGGGCAATGCTGAGACTTCTGTTGGTCCCCTGTGGGGATCTTTTGAGTCTTGACCCTTCAGTCCTGAGCTCCTCATTAATTTATAAGCAAAGGTAATTAAGCCTATTAAAAACTGCACACGGTGCTCACCTTTGTGAGTCATGGGTGCTCAATGTCTCCAAATGTATTCTAATGGAGGAAAGCAACTCCTCTGTTTCTGCTCCCTGCTCACATTTACCTGTCTGAGGATGGAGAGACACTAGCCGTGAAACAGAAAACCTGCTGAGCGCAGCTCTTTCGATTATGAGTGTTCTCCTCAGAGTAAATATATTTAGCAGTGCCCAAGCAGAGTCCTGTTTGCAAATCAATGTGATTTTTCCACCTTAAAACATTTTTTTAAACCTCTTCTCAATAAATTCACACAAGGTCAGGAGATCAAAGGGACAAATCACTCACCGCAGGGACTAGAAGCTTCTTGACCTCCTCGACCGCTCTCTTGAGTTTGATCTCAGCACGGTTCTGAGAGTCTTCCACAGTGATGAGGACATGCAGGTCTTCGTTCAGGTGTTCCCAGTTGGGCTTTCCTCTGTTTTGCTCTTCCTGTTTAAATGAAACAGAAGAATCGTTTGAGAACAAAGCTGAATTAAGATTTTTTTTTACAATTCCTGAATTTGAATTGATATGTCAAACAGGACGCAGAATTGCAATTCGAATTTGAATGCAAGCAAAATTGAAATCTGTAACTAACTGACACATAGACATATGGTTTCAAACTCATGAATTGCAAGGGAGAAAATTATTCAGACAGACAGATAAGAGGTTTCAAACTTGTGAATAGCAAGGGAGGATTTTAAAATAAAAAAAAGGCTAAAAAAATAAGTCAGGAAATGATAGTGAGAAAAGGGGTGGGGTGAGATTGGCAAAGGACTTGATTCGCCCACATAAGAGCAACTGGAAGACGTGTCGGAGAACGTGCACAACCGGCCAGGCCACATTTCCAAAAAGACATTTTTCGAAAGTATTTGCCAGGGGCGTTTGTAAGACTTTGGATCAATGAGCGCACAGACCGCTTCCTGTGAATACGCAGTGCCACAGTTTCTATGGAAACTTTTCCAGACTCTTATTCCAACTGTACAGCTAAACATGGAAATAACCTAAAACATCAACAGACACTTTGCAACAGTTAGTGACTGTCGGTTTATCTCATGGTTCAGACCGCCAACAGCAGTGACAATCCTGTTGCCATAGAAATGGGGCGTTGAGCCTTATTGAATGCATTGTCTCCAGCAGGGTTTTTCATCACAGCGGGGCTTATGTTTACGACTCCGCTCAGGCCTACAGAACAATCCATTACTGTGAACTCGCTCGCTGCCTTCTGAGATTCCCACTTCAAGCAATCACAGACATCACCATGGCCTCAAGGGAAAAGTTTGAATGAGAGTAACAAAGACGTAGACGGCCCAGCCTTATCCTTGACCGGGTGACGCCAGCCTCAGATCCCAGTTGGTGGCGTTGTATTTGCTAATGAGTGGCTGCCACCTCCTTAAAATATAGAGTAATTAGATGATCAAATATGTGCATCCGATAAGGCTGCAATCTTGAACACAGCTGGTTATGTGCTAAAAATAACTGTAATTTTGACTCTGAAAAAGTCTAAGCAGCAGCACAATGCATAGACATCTTCTTCTGTCCTACTTTTGGTGGCTGGGCAGTTTTGTGCATAACAGTGTAAAAAAGTTAATAAAAGTTAATAACAGCTATAGATACAGTAGATCAACAGTGAACGTAAAAGGCCAATCCATCATAAGCTGTAATTACAGAAAGTTCACATCAACATGATTTTAGCAAGCTTTCATAGGATTGAGAACCTAATGGTGCATTTGGTCTGTTCAAACTTAGAATCTTTATTTTGCTTTTGCATGATCTGAAATACAGCGTACAGCCTAAACAGGCTATTCCGTAATGTCATGTGAAATTATAAACGTAGCAGTTTGCTATAGAGCATCATTGTCCCGCCCACAGCCGGTGCCGGAAGTAAAAATTCAATACAATTTCTCCATTGACATTTGAGATATAAGCCATAAAAGCTTCAGTAAATCAAGGAACAGGAGTTTCCCTGCACATTCACTGTATAAAATTCACTGGAGGAAAAGGTTCACGTGGCCGTCGTCAGATTTGTCGACAGAATGTTTTAATCAAACAGATCTCAATCCCCATTGACTACCATCATATCCTACTATGGAAGTCAATGGGGAATGAGATCTGTTTGATTAAAACATTCTTCCAAATATCTTCCTTTGTGTTCAGCAGAACAAATAAACACATAGAGGTTTGGAACAACTTGAGGGTGAGTAAATGATGAAAGAATTTTCATTTTTGGGTGAACTATCCCTTTAAATGAGGCGCGGTGGTTTATGGGAAGAATAGTCCCTTTGCTCGGAAATGAAAATATGTACACAGGCTTTTACCCTTGACTTTTTTTGGATTTTCTCTTCATTTTTTCACTCAAAATAATATGTTGTATGCTTATGAGTTCAGCCGTAGCTGATTATCCTCAGATATGCTCTAATACTCTTTAGATATGGATTTTACAAAATGTCAATGGGAGAAATGAATGGGAAATTTACTTCCGGCACCAACGCTCTCTCGGGCTGTTGGCGGGACTGTGATACTCTATAGCAGTGGTTCTCAATCCAAGTCCTGAGGACCTACAGCTCTGCACATTTTATACGTCTCCTTTATCTGACACACCCAGTTCAGGATTGGGAACACCTGCTCTATCGTAATAATTGACAAAAATATATATCTGCCATCATTTACTTCAAAATTAGTATATTCAAGTTGCTCTTTTCCATAAAATGAAGCCATAATGTTCCCCACATAAAGATAATCAAATGGCTTGAAGCGTAACACTACTTAAATTTATTTTATGTGACTTTTTTTTTTTTTTTTTTTGCTTGTTTTGGAACCTGGCAGTTCCTGGTACCCATCCACTTAGTTAAATTGAAGGAAAGCTTAGCTTATCCTTTTGTGTTCCACAGAAAAAAGAAAGTCAAACAGGTTTGGAATGACATGAAGGTGAGTAAATAACCAACAACATTTTAATATATGGATAAATTGCTTTAATTACAAACACCTTTCACAGCCAAAAAACCTAACCCTATTATTTGTTTATTCCAGGAAAAGTGACAGTAAATCTAATTTGGAGAAAGAGAACAGATGCAGATGGCATCTCCATTTGACGCATGACTTGTTTGCCCCTGGCTGTAACTTTTCTTATTTTTCTCGCTTCCTTGATTGCCTTAATATTTCACAAGATTTATGCACAGGTTTCGCTCTGCTGTCAGAGTAGCTTCTGTGTTACAGAAAATAAGTTTGAAGAACACTAGAGGGCTTGATGGTTTTATAATCTAACATTCATTTTAGCACAATACTCAAAAACTTCACAGATTTAATTTTGTCGTGCTATTATGACAACAGCTTTTTGCACTGCTGTCATAAAACAATTATGTCAAACTTGAGGAAACAGCTGAGGTTTAAACTTTCCATTTCAATTGTGTGTTCTGCACTTCCTAGATGTGCAACACAAGTCTGGCAAAGAATGCTGAGCCACCAGTCTGTTTTTCCGTCTTGACCCACAGAACGAAACAGCCTTTATAAGCATCTCTGGTGTGATAGACATTGTTGTGCAATACAGTGAGAGAACGGCACTTTGCCAGAGGCATCTCAGCTTATTGTGTTCCATTAATTCCCCATCAATCTGAATCTCATCAATGCGTCGAACCCAATATTTTACTGTGTATGCTGTTAATGTTTTATGTGCATGCCTGTGTAGGAAGTAGAAGTTGCACTGTGGGGAATAAACACAGATGGTGTATCCTCAAAAATCTCAAACTGATGAAACAAGTGATTTCTATTATGTAAAAAGGAGACATTTTATGATCCATCTGTGGATCACTACTACAGGCTTGGTGTGTGGGAGTGGGAAACAGGCCTGAACTGAAAACGGTAGTTGCTAGTGTTTGTATACCACATTGAAATCAAACAGGATGACATCAAGCACTTTAGAAAAGCACCAATGCAATGCCATTAAAGCACAACAACATTTTGTAGCTGTGATGGCTAAGGCCACACTGAATGAACATTACATTTGAATGGTTCTAGTTTACTTTGTATTTAATTTTTTGTATGCAAAATTGATATTTTGTTTGTTCTGTTTCATTAAATATTATTTACCCAAACACTGGAACTAGAGGACCTACGTTGTGTGCGCATTAAACCTCAAAGAGCGACAAAGCCAATAACCATTATTTCTAAAGTGCAAGCTAATGAGTAAATGAAACCACAACCAAGATATGGGTTTGACATTTTAAGTTTGTTTGAATGTGTACTGTACATCTTAAACCGTGGTTCCGCCGGGATCCATGACTGCAGCATGGAACAAAGGCTTGGAATTAAAAGGGCACAGCCTTTCCTGGTGTCTTTTATATATTCGGTTGGGAATTATGGGAAATGTAGTTTTTGGGACAATATGTGTTGGGGTCGTGTGTTAATTTGAATGCGTTTAAATTGTTTTGTGTGTTTTAAGTGTATTTAAGTGTGTTTTCATTATTGATTTATGGTAAATGTGACTTATGTTTATTTGAGTTTGTGAGACCCAGAACGCAGTAATGTGCTGATGTCCCATTATTAGTTAGTGTTTTGTTTTCTCTCTTTCTTATGCACAATATGTGGTCAGTACTTAAGTGTTGCAGTCAATTCAATGACACTTTGTTGACTCCATGAATGTCTCCTGAAAATTTTATGGAAGAACCCTTACATTAGCATTATTTGTTGTTTTTTTTTATTTGTTCTTTTCTTGATTCTTGAGTTTAAAGATATTTGCAACATGTCTATACTTCCTCTAACCTAAAAACTTGGACTAAATGGTGTAGGATGAGACACTGCAAGGAAGTGAAACTGTATCATTTGAGCTTGAAAAACATAGCATTCTCCTCTAATAGCACTCATTTTCATTTTAATGCGAGTCATTTTTCCTCTGTGTCAGGCAGCCTTGGAGGCAGATCGCCTGCCTCAGTTCTACAGTTAGGAAGGCCATGCAGACTCCGTCAGGAATTCCATTAAAATTGAATTGCCTGGATTTGTCTCCTCCCATTTGGTATCTATTAGTTATGCGCTGTCGCAAAGATAATATATGGTCTCCGTCACTATAAAACATGCAGTCAAAACACGGCTCACAAGCTCTTCCAAAGAAAAAAAGAAAGAAAGAAAGTTAAAATAAATTGCTGACAAATATCTAAGTACAATCAACTTGGATGTTTGAGTCTTTATAATAATTTAATCTTGTATAACTTACAAAAATGTAAAAATTAAATAATAAATAGTTAATTAATGTGAAAACATGTCATTACCTATTGATCATATATTTTTATTACAGTGGAAAAAAAGAACAAAAATGTAAAAAGGGAAGGAAAAGACAAGAAATATTTTAAAAATAAAAAGGTATTGAAACAGTAAAAAGAAACAAAACAGAAAAAGTAAAAAATAGTAAAAAATACCTTCTTCTTGTCTCTCATGGAGCCTTTGCCTCGCACCATAATCTTACAGCCCGTCTCTGCCTCCAATTGTTTGGCCGTCAGGCCCCGGGGCCCCAGGATTCTTCCCACAAAATTAAACTGTGAAGAGACATAAAAAGGAGAATTCTTTCAGTGGAAAACATCTGCATTTTACACATCTGGTATGAGCATCCCAGTGCTGAAAAGCCGAAACGGATCTGTTTTGCAGTCTCGCCGTGACTGAATTCATTTTTAATCCGCATAGCTCTGATATTTTAGTCATTATAAAACTATTTAACTTTTAAAAACTTCCTAAAAAACCTCTAAAAACTACAGAGGCAGCCAGAGTCACATCCTCAAGGTTACAAAACACGGACCATCATCCCCTCAGCTAAATGGTTCACCCATATGTAAGTTTTGGCAGAGCTCGACGTAAACTGCAGCTTGGTAACATAATTGTATAATTTAATCAAAGGGACTTTTTAAACCCTAGCAGAATGTGAGGAATGCTTAATCCCCTTTTATTGAAAGGGGGACATCTAGAGACCAAATGGGGTTTTGGAATGTACCATTTGCCACGGGGAAGCCTTAACCGTTCGTGCTCCACCCTATTCCTGCACTGACACAAGTCACATGGAACAAATTTAACCTAACAAAGGGGTCAAAGAGTCATATAAACACAAATACCTAACATATTTAACAGCCAATATGACTTAGAAGGTACAGGACGTACGCAAAAGTGCTTGCTTGTTTGTTTTTTAGTCCCATCCAAATTCATGTTCCAATTGATTTCTACTTCAAAAGTCAAACAAAACAACCCTGACATGTGGGACTATGAACAAGCAACAATGATTTATATTCTTACGTTGACATAATATTTTCAAAAACCAAGTTAGTTTGAACCGTTTCCGCAATCAATCGAATACCGTAAACATTATAAATGATGTTTTTCGCCGTCTTCGTAGGGAAACCACCAGGCAAGCATACTAAATGATTAGTAAAGCTATGATTCGTGATTTATTGCGCTGCCCCTTTAACAGTCACGAGGCCAGAACATTGTGCTTTTTGGCATTTGTGGGCCATGGCAGTGCCGCTCTTTTAGCATTTAACCTTATCTGTCACAAGGGTTGAGTGATAAGCCAGGCAGCTGCATCTCTCTCAGGGTCACAATGCATTCTCTTCCTTTTAAAGCTCATGTCTTCACGGGCCGCTCACAGCTGCTGGGGGTCGTTGGCTCTCTGTGCTGTATATTTAGAGTTGAGCTCATCATACTACTGTGTGGATGGCACTGTCTGTCTGTCTGTGTCCTTGTGTTATTGTCATTTTTAGCCAATGTTTGTGCAACTGTTGACTTCGTGAACTTAGTTTGTCAGTCAAGATGTTTCTTGCTACCTTCCAGTCATTCTGATTGGTAAGCCGTGTAACAGTGAGATGAGTCACCGCTGGTCTACGTAACCGTAATTTCCAAAACAAAGAGACAACAGCCAATACACACACAAAAAAGACTATTAATTTCGAAGAGTTGGATAAAGGGTGGATATATTTTTGTTTAACAGCACAAAAATATGCTTTACCAATACCAACATTATAAGTGGACATTGGGGAAAAATAAAGAAAATATATTTTTTTGGGTAGACTATAGCTTTAAGAAAACAAAGTAAGTCAGAGAATCCGAACAAAAAGTAACCGGTGTCTTTTTTGTGTGATTTTTAACAAGTTCAAGGCTCTTAATGAACAACAATGGAGCATTGGAAAAACCTCATTACCAGTCGACAGCTAGAGAGAAAAGAGTGGGAAGCGGATGACAGACTGAGGCGACGGCCTGAGAATCATTCTGAATGGTCTTTACATAGAAACAGTGAGCGCATGCAGAATAGAAATCTAATCATCATTCCCCACCCCTCCCATCTCCTCATCAAAGTCCACATTTGTTTTCACACAGGCTATGCAGGCAGGGATAATGTTCTAGATCATTCTCTCCAGAAGGCGATGGAGGACAGAAAGGCCAGTGACCTGCATGTCTCTCACCCGCACTTGGCACTGATGGTGGTAACCCTGACAGGTTCCTGCGGGATTATCGGAATTCTGGTTCTATTACAGGGGAGCGAAGTCACTCTCAAAACAAGCCTGATGATTGATGGCCGCAAATAAGATAAGATTTGTTGGGCCCCAACTGATCTTTAAAAGACAACAGGCAACAAAGTGTAAGGTAGAGGCAAAGCAACTACAGCAACAAAAAGAACAGTATCTTATGTTAATCAAGTACATTTATGAAGAGATTCAACCAGGCGCTCAGGTGAAATATATCCGTGATAGGTGCTCTTAGGATAGGGAAAGGATCCAATGAAACAACATGCAGGTCCCAGGCACTCAATAAATGGATAAGGAGGAGAAGGCAAAGGTTAAAAAGCCTTTATTGAAAATGGCTTATTTCATTATAACTTTTAACTTTTTTTAACTTAACTTTTTTTATAATGAAATTTAGCATTTCAATAAAGGCTTTTTAACCTTCGCCTTCTCCTCATTATCCATTTATTGAGTGCCTGGGACCTGCATGTTGTTTCATTGAATCATGTACATTTGTTTAAAACCTTGCAAACATTAGGTTTTCTGTGATGTAAACACTGGAAATGGAATTGAATGTTGATTTAAAGGGTTAGTTCACCCAAAAATGAAAATTCTGTCAGTATTTACTCACCCTCATGTTGTTCCAACCCCGTAAGACTTTCTTTCATCTTCGAAACACAAATTAAGATATTTTTGATGAAATCTGAGAGCTGGATCACTCTTCCATACTAGTCCATATGCTTCTTAGGGGATTGAAACTTGCCGGCCTCGAAAAGTTATTAAAGACATTGTTAAAATAGTCCAAGTGACTACAGTGGCTCAATCTTGACTCTATCAATCGACGAGAACACTACAAAAATAACGACTTTATTTCAACTATTCACTTCCTACTCTATGCACCTCTAGTCAGTTAACATAGTGTGATAGCGTAGAGCTACGTCACACGTAGGCTCACTATTGGCCGAAGCTGGTCATGTGTGTGATAACGTATAATAACAGAATTTTACGTTATTAAACTAGTAACCTGGCTCCAGGCCTAGAGAGAAGTAAATGAATAGTTGAAATAAAGTCATTATTTTGGGGGGGGTTTGCGCACAAAAAGTGTTCTCGTCTCTTGATAGAGTTAAGATTGAGCCACTGAAGTCACTTGGACTATTTTAACAATGTGTTTAATAACTTTGAGGCCGGGAAGTTTCAATCCCTCAAGAAGCCTATGGACTAGTATGCAGGACTGATCCAGCTCTCAGATTTAATCAAAAATATCTTAATTTGTGTTCTGAAGGTGAGTAAATACTGACAGAATTTTCATTTTTGGGTGAACTATCCCTGAAGGCCACTCTAGCTGATTTACAGTTATGTTGAAATGTGAACATGAACCAGACCTATTGATGCTGGTGGTGTGCTACTCCAAATGACGTTGTTGCTTTATGAATTTGTGACCTCAATAAGTCACTCAGCAATGGGAAATTCTGAGCAGGTTGTCAAAATGTATCACATTTTAATACACTAGACACCAGACATCAAATTTGAAGTTCCTGTGTTTTGTCATCCATCAGGCTAATCTATCCAAAAGCTTTTCTTTCTTCAAAATGTGTTTACTTGAAACAAGAACCGCACCACAATGAAATTTTACATTTTGTGAGATCCAATTTCTCTACATAACTTTTCAAACAAGTTACTTTTGCACACTCGCTCAAGTGCTGTCAGTCGTTGGTTGGGCTTCACCCTAATATAGAGGACAATGCACAGAGGTTAATTATAACTAAACGAGAGATAAGAGAGAAGCCCCAGCAACGCATCTCTCATTCAAACTCGATTAACCCTGACCCCACTATCACTCTTATCAGCTCTTTAAAATGGCAGAATCGTGAGCCGACAGACAGAAACACTCCTCTGTCTACTTAACATCTCCTTAAACTCAGACTCAACCCTAAACCTGTTCAAGATCAAACGAGCCAGATAATCGCCCACTGCGAAAACGTACATCCCAACACTTTGTTCAGTTCATAGCCAAATGTTTCAGATTGGACTCCTCGCGTAATCCACTCTCGGGCCTGATGACCGTTTCTGCATAAATTATGTTTTCTGAGGAGAGTGTGAAAGCTGCCCTTGCATCGAGATTTGGAAGTCACTATGTATTCAAATTAGAAACACGGGCTGCGAGTAAAACAATGCCTAGGATTGCCGTATTAAGCAATATTTACCATGCTAATTATTACCATTTGATTATTGCTGTCCTGGTAGAGATGAGTTAATTGGATCAATCTGCTGCACGTTTCTCATGCTCCCCTGAGTCGACGTCTAAAGTAAAACAATCAATGTGCAAAAAAATCCACCTTTGATTATCCACAAGTTTCCGAGGGGCGCTCCTGTAAAAAATAAAGTGGGTGAAACTTCCGGTGAGGCGGCGGAAGTAGCATTCCAATGGTATTTTGTGTGTTAGTTAGCGAAGAGGCTAGCTGTTTTTCGGAGAATTATTTTACTATTTAAAGACGCAAATCTTTATGAGAGATGTCGTTACGGAGCTCAGGGGCAACATGTGCTGTTCGCGGTTGTATGTATAACCGGACTAAACTAATTCAGTGGCTAAAACGTGATTGTTTTGAATATAAGCCTAAAACGAAATCAGAGTGATCCTGCCAGAGCCCGTCTCTGATCCTGCCAACGACTGTAGTTTCCATCACCTCCCAAAAGACGACGAATCTTCCTGTGTACATTTGTTTAAATTCTTAATATTCTATAAACTCTATCAGCATGTGATTGGCTGATCGCTACTGATGTTACACCTAAACTCAGGATCAAAGCCTGTGTTGACAGAATACCAAATGTGCCAGTTAATGTATTCAAGTAGCACATTCATTTATAATTTTGAATAAACTCCGAAGCACAATGACTAAGTGTGTATTTTTTATTTTAATTGTTTGTCAGCTCACACAACTGTCTGTCACCATGCCTTGATGAGTATTGATTATTAATAATGTTATTATAATACTCCCAATCAACTACTGCGGAGGGTAAAGGTACTGTTATTTCACCCTTTTTAATTCCGTTGAGGTTGTGTTCCCACATCGTTAGCTAGTTTGGATCGCTATAACTTAAATGACTGTCAACTGTTGAATGAACAAGCGTCAAGCATGTCAAATCGCGCTTTGTTTACGTCCAACCGGAAGTCGCGCCCACTTTTGACGCAAGGCCTCATGGGGCGTAGGAAACTTGTGGATAGACTTGTGCTTTCATGGACAAACTACCAATTTTCCAGCATTTGAGTAATCTAAAAAAAAAAAAAAAAACGTGTTAAGTTACACCATGTTTCTCTCTTTATTTACATGCACACATCAGGGTGCATATTAATCCCTCATAAACATTTTCAGGAGGTAAAAATGTTTCGGTACATTACTTTTCCAGTAATACCATGAAGTGGCAATCTTATCAAAATAATAATCTTCAGCAAAGCAGCTTTATTGACCTTAATGTTGCATGACCATGCCCACACTGATGGAGATTCAACTGTAAACTGCAACTCAACAGTCAACAGTTTAGAATAAAAACAGCAAGGACTTTGTGCAGCATTTGGGACAGGGCCAAACATTATTTTAGCAATTCCGGGAGATATTAGTGTCAGAAATGGTTTTCTACTTTTTACTTGCTGCCTTTACAAACCATTGGCATAAATGTGTTGATTCTGTAGAAAACATACACTGTCAGAAATAAATCTTTAGGGGTACAACAGATTGTTTCTGTGCAGTAGCCTTAATGAGACAGAATTGTTTCTTATCTACCCCTAAAGACTGCCTATTAGTATATTATGTATGCATATTAGTACCTAGTACCTATTAGTATCGTATCCCAGGTTTAGACAACACAATATTTTTGACTGTTATGACTGTACACTGTCACTGTGTGATTAAGGTTTTTGATGAAAACATTCCAGGATTTTCTCCATATAATGGACTTCATTGGGAGCCAAATGGTTCAAGGTCCAAAAGAGTGTTTCAGTGCAGCTTCAAAGGACTTTAAACGACACCAGACGATAAATAAGGGTCTTATCTAGGACCCTTCGAGTCATGACTCAAAAAAAAATGTGTTCATTTTGATGAACGAGTTTGAACAGGAGAGTCACGAACACTCATCACAGAACAGAGCAAGGCGAGCATTTGTGCTTATAAAACTTAAACTTTTATTTATTTTTTAAATGACCGATTGTTTCGCTTGAAAAGACCCTTATTCACTGGCTGGTGTTGTTTAAAGCCCTTTGAAGCTGCACTGAAACTCTCATTTGGACCTTGAACCGTTTGGTTCCCATTGAAGTCCATTATATGGAGAAAATCCTGGAATGTTGTCATCAAAAACCTTAATTTCTTTTCGACTGAAGAAAGAAAGACATGGACATCTTGGATGACATGGGGGTAAGTAAATTATCAGCAAAAGTTTTTTTAAAAGTGCCCTAACTTCTTTAAGCGCCATCATTACAACACTGCATTGATTACGGCTTTTGAGAGCTTCTGTGCTTGCTTTCAGATGTGACGTGTGTCATTTATGAATCACCGCGACACCTCAAATGGATCCGGCCAAAATCTGCCTGCTATAGTGTAGTCTGAACCCAGCATTAAGGTATGTGCTCTTTAGGGTAAGATGGCATACGGGTACTGCCCCACTAACAAGCTCGTTTCTTTACTTTTTCCTGACACTGTGGCTACTAACTAAACATTTCTAAAAACCTGATTTAAGTTACAATAGCATTGAAGTAATACTTACGTCTGGGAATTCTTTTACAGGCACATAAAGTTTCTCTTGGAGTTGTGCAATGGGCCCCACAGCATCTGGGAGCTCGGAAGTCCTTTTATCTGTGCCGTTCATTGTGTCATTGTACATGTCCTTCCGTACCCGTCCAATTTCTGTCAAACAGACACATTAAAAACTCCATTATTTGGTATAAAAAATAACTAAAACAAAGAAAAGACTTTTTTTTTTTTTTTTTTTTTGTTAAAAATGACTTGCAGAAGTCTTGACGAGTTTATGCAACTATTTAAATATAAAAACAACTCCCAAAGGGTATGAGAGCCCAGCCAGCCATGGAGGAGCTAGCGCAACATGATGTGCATTCACAAAGAGTGAGTAAGAGTAAGACACCAGCCTTTTGAATGCTTGCAGGTCCAAACTGAAGAAATTCCAAAGAGACTAGCTTAAAAGACTCAAGCAATAACTGAAGCAATATTATAATTTTAACTAAAGCTCTTTAGAGGATATTGGGAAGAAGCAGCCGTATATATATATTCGAATGGATTTACACCGATGTACAATATGGTTCAACATGACAACATCAAAGCATGGCCCAGGCCTACAGATTAAAATGACCTAAATATAACCCTGATCTAGCTGTAGCTTGTTGGGCTCCCATAGGAGCTTCCCAGAGTAAAGCAGAGAACCTCAACAAGATCTCATAAGCAATAACTCAACAGAACTCAGCGGGATGTGGTCTTCTGAACTCCAGCAACACCCCCACCCCCTCCCGAAGAACTAACAGGATGCCTTACATAAGTGAACGCAGGCATGTAAGCACATTTACACTCAATTACATGCAACACATGCTCTTGGCACTGCCCCATCTAGCCATGTTTCCGATCCTTGCCATGAGAGACAGCGTTTTCTGATTTATTATGTTTAAATGGATCCAGACTGCACTGTCACATTAGGACTGGTTTCATCTGTTCATATGCTATCATTCAGAATAAAGCTGATGAAATAAACCGTCAGAGTAAAACCATCCATTTGAGGTCCCACAATGAAGCACAAATCCAAACATCAGCTCTAACTGCTCAAAGCCGATTAATTTACACATTCTGGGACTTACTCATGAAATTGGTATAATTGGTCACTTTACATTGAGTGTTGAAAGGGGATTAAACAGTCAGTCAGAAGTTTATATTGGGTTTTGTGTGACTGCGGCTTAACATTCCAACAGTCTCGACACTTTGGACTAAGTATGACTTATCCCATGAATCACAAGGGGTGGGCGATAAATACATTATTCACTATAATTCTGCTGGCAGTAATAAAAAGCAACATTGTGGATATCTCAATTTTAATGTTCACCCCTTTTCAAGTTCAAGGGATAGGATAGTTCACACAAAAATGAAATTTCTGCCATCATTCACTCGCCCTCACAAGACTTCCATTCATCTTCAAAACCGACATGACCTAAATGAGATCTGTTTCTTATATAAAGTGGTGGTGTCTCTTTAGATTACTTACATTAAAAGCTCAATTCATTTGGATATGGATGAACTTTTTGATGCATTAAATTTTTGGTTGCAGGGACTTTTAATGGATGGACAAAAATCATGAGAGAATATTTAAAAATATCTTTACTTGTGTTCTAAAGATGAACGAAACATGAGGTTGAGTAAATGATGACAGAATCTGGGCTGTCATTAGTGCCCGGATTCACAGACCAGGCTTAAGATAGTCCCAGATCAAAATGCAGGTTGAGCTGTCTTAACTGAAAACAACATGCAAAGGCATATCTTAAAATTTGATTATATGAATAATAATAATTAAAATATGATTTGTCTCAAGATGCACATCAGTAATGTTTTTTTATGTCCCTGAGGCACATTTATAAAAGCTACTTAAATGTCCTAATTTAACTATTAAAGGCCTAATCCTGGCTTTATCTAAGCCCTGTCTGTGAAACCAGGCCTTTACGTTTTTAAAATTCAGGAGAAAAACAAATGGCTTTAACAGGGAGTCTAATTCAATTCCAGGAATCAGCTTTGTCCATTGTCCATTTCAAAGAATAGATTCAAAACTCAATGATTTGTTTGCATCACACAAACATTTTAACAGAATTCTCTGCATGGTATTTTCATATATTATTATTAATACATTGATAAAAATATATTGGTGAAAATGAAAACGATCAATATTAAAGGAATAGTTCACTTTAAAAAAAAAACTTTTGCTGATAATTTACTCACCCCCATGTCATCCTTTCTTGAGTCGAAAAGAAATTTAAGGTTTTTAATGAAAACATTCCAGCATTTTTCTCCATATAATGCACTTTACTGGTAACCAAACGGTTCAATGTCCAAAATACTGTTTCAGTGCAAAATGCAAACTGTTTAAAGGGCTTTAAACGATTCCAGACGATTAATAAGGTTCTTATCAACCGTAACGATCGCTTATTTAAAAAAAAAAATAACAAAGTTTAAGTTTTTTAAAAAACCTCTAATGGTTGCCTTGCTCTGTTCTGTGATGCGCGTTTGTGACTCTCCTGTTCGAACTCGTTCATCAAAATGAACGAACCTTTTTCTGAGTCAATTCGTTCATTTTGTTCATTGAATGAACCAAATGACTCGAAAAAAGATTTGTTTGGACCTTGAAAATTCGTATGGACCTTGAAAAAATGTGTTCGCTTTTGCACCTTGAACCGTTTGGTTCCCATTGAAGTCCATGAGAAAAATCCTGTAATGTTTGCATCAAAAACCTTAATTTCTTTTCAACTGAAGAAATAATGACATGGACATCTTGGATGACATGGGGGTAAATTATCAACAAAAGTTTTTTTTTTTTTTTTAAGTTAACTACTCCTTTAATATGAAAATCAATCTTATTTGTGTTCAATTGGTAAATATCAATGTGAAAACATTTAGAACCTATATATGGAAACAATCACTATTTGGTTGAGATAGTATAGAAATGCAAAATATAAAAATACTATGTTTTAACCATATGTATTTTGTCTGAAGAACAGCTGAGGTGACATAAGACGTATCATTTTCCACCCCTAGTTTGGCTGTTATTAGCACAAGCTTCAAGTGCACTAAAAACAAACATTAGAGGCGATTGGTCAACACTGCCAACCACAACACATACACAGACGGTGAGATAGTCCTTCCTACTGCAGACCATCATTTACGTGTGTGTGTGTGTGTGTGTGTGTGTGTGTGAGAGAGAGAGAGAGAGAGAGAGAGAGAGAGAGAGAGAGAGAGAGAGAGAGAGAGAGAGAGAGAGACAGCAAGACGACTCTGATTACAGTTTGTTTGCGGTCATATGAGTCTGTCCAATACTACAGTATGATACACTTGGTCTGGTATGGCTGTGAGCGAGCAACAACTAGTACATCACTGCGACATAAATATCACCTCCATAAAGCTAGCAGATCCTGCACTCTAAACACACATCGCTACGGATAACCTATTCAGTTGCTGTTATTTACAGTACTAATGGCACACTGTCACGCGTCTGGTTTAAATGACTTCTTCTGACAACTTTGGTATTTTTCACACTTTCAGTGTCAGCCATGGAAAGTTTACACCTATATCATATTTTCAAACAGGCAAATTTGGATGCAGTTATTACACTTTCTGGAACTTTTGACTTTTTAAACCAAAGAATTGGAAAGCAGAGATACGTGCTGGCAGAAACACAAGCATGATTTAATGTGAGATGTCAGACACATTCCTTGGTCGTTTAGTGAACAAAAGTGTTGTTGCCTGTGAGAGCTGGCGGTCTCCAGACCATGCTGGACGCTGGATAAAGACAAAGTGTTTACTCAACCAAACACTGCTTCATAGTGTGTCCCATTACATAAGGTTTGAAAAGATGTACATACACACACACACACAAAACAACAGAAGTGGAGATAACAAGAAAGATAACACTATGAATATATGATTTATGGAAGGTTGTCAATTCAAATACTTAACAGAAATATCAACCAAGTACAAAAGTACTTACTTTTTATGAATGAATGAGTGGGTCCAGTTTCCACAAAAATATTAAACAGCATGTTTTTAACATTGATAATAATAATAAATCTTTTTTCAGCACCAAATCAGCATATTAAAATAATTTCTGAAGGCTCATGCGACACTGAAGACTGGAGTAATGATGCTGAAAATTCACATGAATAAATGAAAATATATTTTGAAATATCAAAATTAGAGCTGCACAATATTAAAGAAAAATGTGATATGCAATGATGTGTTAAATATAATGCATTAAGTGCGTAAAATAAATTATTTAAAAAACTGAAAATGATATAACCGAACCAATATACTTTTTTTTGTGAGAAGAAAGCATCCCTTCAACTTCCGAAAGTAAACAGCAATATTTTACAGTAGCATTATAAAAGTAAGTGTCATTTTAGTATAAACCAAGGGGGGTTAAGGCTTGTTCTTATATAACAACAGAAATTGAATAATCAAATATAAAAATAAAACAGCCTACTCTTCTCTGTATGAATTAAATATACACTGATTCTTATTAAAGCAACAAAAGTTAATCCATCAAGATCAGTGAGTGATTTTCTCTTTGTCTATTTTTGTTTTATTAACATTAAGCACACAGATTGAAGAAAGTTTATTAGGCTGCTGTCACTTTAAGAGCTGCATGGCTCCAATATGGTTAAATGCACACTTTCCTTCTATGTAACTGTTTACTCTGACATAACTGACTGTGTTTACGTGAAAACTCACCAAGATGGGCATTCTGACATAATTTCACGTGTATTTGGCCATATAAACTGCAGAAGAGTTGAAATCGTGATTACACACTTATTGCGCCTAATAATATTAAGCATGTCACACGTATGTAGTCTTAAATTAAATAATTGTATTTAATTAATATTTAATGTAACCCCTCAACGGTAAAATGCACGTCAGGCACCAGAGAGTTTTAAGACTTTGGAACAGAAACAGATTATTTCAGTCTCTAAAACGCAGGCAGCGAGTTGACCATCTGTGGCAGTGTGGGAGAGATGAGAGACGCTGAGATGAACAGAGGAAACATGATAAAGGTAAAAAGAAAAAAAAACTAGAAAAGGTTGCAAGAGGGATGAAAGAGTAGACCGCAAACCGTGAAACCATCTGGATAATCGTCGCCTGCCAGGAAA